GAAATAATCATACAAAGTGTTTTTTTTGGGGGGGGTGGGGGGGTGGGTGTTCCTCTTCTGCTAATATTATACATTTTGGGGGAAGAACAGGTTGTATTTTGCATGGGATTTTTAATTCCAGAAGAAACATAAAAATGGAGGAAAAAATTAAACAAGGCAGAAGATATATCAGAGAGGAACATGAATAATGAACACTGTGTGTTAAATATTTATATTTCTTGCTATATTACTCCTCACTGCAATTTTGCTGTTGATAAAAATGGCTAGAGTTTTTTTCCCCGCCTCCATCTATCTTTCATCTAGGCTTGGACACCACTTAAGTTCTTTATGTAGTTAAGGAATGGTGAATAAACTGGAAAAAAATTGAAGTTGTTATTTAAAAAGAATAACCTGTTTAGTCATGTAGCTTCTGACTTATTTCAGGTCTTAGAAACTAGGGTTGTAATAGGAGTAAATTTATACTTGTAGTTGCTACTGTACTATGTTTTCAAAAAAATTGCTGTATTATCACTATCTTCTTCAGATTATGGCCGAACGGAAGAATGCTAAAGCTATGGCTTGCAGCTCATTGCAAGAGAGGACAAATGTCAGCCTTGATGTTCCTCTGCAAGGTACTGTGTGTTACAGCTAGTATCCTTGGCATGGTCCTATTTTAGATATCTTTCGTTTCTGATGCTGCTTTTGACCAAAATAGAGTGTGTTGGGTGGAGAGGTCAGGAGTGAAGCCTGTCTGTTAATTACTGAATCTGACTGTAACCTGTTACTGTATTACAGTATACATTTTTATTGGTTATGTTGACAGTAATGGAGTCCTGCTCAGCTATGTCAACTTGTGCATTTCCTCCTTTATTTTGAAATGCAAATGTTGCAAAGGCAGTCTTACTTATTTGTGGCTACTTGCAGGTATTGTCCTTTTCAAATCAAAATACCTCCTGACTTGAGACTGCAGAAATTGGTCAAATCTTCCTTAAAACCAGAATATACTCCAGTTAATCACTTGGATTCAGAGGAGCTGTAGGAGGACTTCTCCTAGGTTTCAGTATCTATTTTAGCAACTTCCAAGGCAAGGGGTGCAAGTGGGTTGTCATCCAACTTAAGGGTCTTTTGCACACTCTACTGCACAGTAGAAGGTGGTTGCCTTTGCATGCCTTTATTAGTCATAGCTTAATAGTTGCTATTTTGAAAGTATTCCAGGAGAACAAATATACTTTGCGTTAATTTTACAGGAAATTATATGCTTCTAGATCCACCAGTTTATACTGAATATCTTACTCCTAATCCATACATCAACTTGTGTAATTGTCTGCTCAGACAGTAGTATTGATTACTCGTAGACTGTGTTTAACATATTAACAGGGATGGTATTAAAAACAGATTCCAGATTTTACATAGTTAGGCAGTGAAACTTAGGTCTGTGTGTCTCAGAGACACATTCATCTGTATTTTCTGGTTTTTTAATATGCCAGCAATATAACGTGACCTTATTCTTAGCGTAGATCAATAATTAGGTGATGCAAAGTTATCCCTAATTCCTTTAGAAATTGTCGAGCATTGTTCTTGTCAGAAGGAGTAAAAATTTGTTTTAATCGATAGAATACCTTCAGCATACAATTACTGGGTAAATCGTTTTATGTTCTTGATGAAATAAAAGTGGTTTTCCCTGCTGTGAATGGTGATTAACAGAAATTTATTTTTGTTCCCATGCAGTAGATTTCCCAACACCAAAGACAGAACTGGTACAGAAGTTCCACGTCCAGTACCTGGGCATGCTACCTGTAGCTAAACCTGTGGGTATGTAACACTTCAGTGACTTCCGAAGTACCTTGCGTAAACTCTAAAGGCTGGACTCTGGCTAGCCAAGTGTAAATGCATGATTTCCAAAGGGTAGCAACTCTTGTACTTCAGTCATACGGGTCAGGCATGAAGACATCTAATATTTAGGGCCTCATCTGAACATGTGCTTTGCAACCATAGTATTTTGGGAGCTGCCAAGAAGGCAGAGTTTCTTTCTACTGCTTTCCCCGAAGATGAGCTCCACTACTAATGAGAAGGGCCCTAGAGAACTGAAATGGTGCAGCAGCTAAACAAGATGCTATCCTTTTTTTTCTAAGCCAGAGGCACCTGTTCTGTTTTTGCAGATGAAGGAAACCAACTTCCCAACCCGTCGTTCCATCATCAAATTAATTTTAATAAGGAGTCCAAAACAATCTGTTTTCTGCACTACGATGTGAAAATAAAAATTTTGTTATTGTTTACTTAGGTATTTATTTTTCATTATTGCATTTTCCTCTCTTTTAGGAATGGATACTCTGAACAGTGCCATTGAAAGTCTAATGGCTTCCTCTAGCAAAGAAGACTGGATGCCAGTTACCATGAACGTTGCTGATGCTACTGTCACAGTCATCAGTGAAAGAGTAAGGCAGACCGTCTTGTTTAAAACGCATTTAACGTAATACGAGTGCTGAAAACCAGGAACACAGAAACACTAGTAGAAAGAGTTATTTTACACTAGAATTCGTTTGCTTATTTTGCATTTTATTTCTTTCCAGAATCTGCAGAGGCTCTTACTGCTTGTATCAGCTTCAGCTTTATTTACCATTCCAAGCATGTTCTCAGAAATAAATTATTATAAATATTCATTAGATACCTAAAACACATTCAGTGTTATCCTTTCTAGGAATTTTGAGCCTAAAATGTTGTAGGTTAAGCCCTAAGTAGCAATCCTAAATTCTAAACTGTATTGACCTTATTCTTGGTGTGGAAGCCAAGAGTAATATTAAAATCTGTGTTTCACATCGCTGTCCTTTTGTAGAGCATTTTCCATAGAGATTAATACAATGAAACTTTCAAATAATGTCTTTTATATATGTCTGCTGATGGGGTACTAAACCAGCGTCTCTGTAACGTACCAGTGATAGGGGAGCATGTTTTGGCGTCGTGATAGCCATGTTGTTTTGTTTCTTCACAAAACAAAGCAGTTTTTAAAGTGCACAGTATGCTCAGTGCTAACGCTCAAAGACTTGGTCTTCTGGCGATAGCCTAGAAGGGGCGATCCAGCCCAGGCCTGGGCACGCTGGGTATCTGCAGATAGATAAAAAGGAATTCCGCAATACTGCATCAGTGTCATCCCCCCAGTTAATCAACTTAAAATTGAAAGTAAAGTTCCACAGAATATCCAGTAGCAATGATCAATCATTTGATTCATAACCAGAACGAAGAGGAAATCATGGTGGAGTGTCGTGTGCGGTTCCTGTCCTTCATGGGAGTAGGCAAGGACGTTCACACATTCGCCTTCATTATGGATACAGGAAACCAGCATTTTGAGTGCCACGTTTTTTGGTGTGAACCAAACGCAGGCAATGTATCAGAAGCTGTTCAGGCTGCTTGTATGGTAAGTGACCTTCTTCAAAGGCACCTAGTAGCACTTAGATTTTTCACTGCCTCCATAAATTAATTGTCTTTCCGAATTGGCCGTTATATTTATTTCAAGACAGAAAAAGAAAGAACAGATAAAAATAGGAATTGGGATTCTGATATATTTAATCAATCAAAACCCAAACATTTTTAAGTTTGAAATGTCAATTTAGTGAACAATGCCCCTTTAGTCATCTTCCCTCCTAACCTCTGCAACATCTGTGTAAGTTAGAAATCTCTTCTTTCACTACACAAGTTATCTAATGCTAGAAAAACATTTTGCTCGGAGTTGTGTTATACAGTCCAGTGACAATGTAGTGAAAATAATCCTTATTCAAGAATAGCTGACCCAGAAAACTTATTTTTCAGTTTTCAAAGGGCTGTTCGTATGATTTAGTATCCATCGTGTGCTAATGAAGTTTCTGCCCCCAGACTGACAGACCAATGTCCCATTAACTTCAGCTGGGCTGTTTGTCACGGCCAAAATGGAGGTTTGACTATATTTAATGACAAAGGATTAAAAGTGTATTTACAATGCTCCGTGAAAGTACTGGATACAGTAAGGATTGCAGAATGCTTTTGCTTTGTTGCAGTTACGGTATCAGAAGTGCTTAGTAGCCAGACCTCCTTCACAGAAAGTTCGACCGCCCCCACCTCCTGCAGACTCGGTGACTAGAAGAGTTACAACTAACGTAAAAAGAGGAGTGTTGTCCCTCATTGACACTTTGAAACAGAAACGCCCGGTCACCGAGATGCCATAGCTGCATAAGAGAGAAGATTCTCCTAACATTTAACTGAAGATAACAGTAGCTACACTAAGGAAAATGAACTGACGATGTCTGGCCTTCCGTTTCAAATTGCTGATGCTTTGTCTTCAGAGAATTTACCCTTATCGAAACAATGTTAGACAAGCATGTTCTCTCGTTCTTGCCACCATCGTGTGATATGAAAAGAAGCATGAATAATTTTTTTGCTGTCAGTGAGTTACATCATGAGCGATGGAAGGTCTGTTTGGTTGTAAATACATGAACATTACCTAAACTCACACAAAAAAAGAATATGGCCACGTCCCTCCCAGTGAACTCACGCTAAAGTCCTTGGAGTGAATGATGCCTGAGTTGATAGTTTCACCGTCTTGAGCTGGATTTGCCACAAACCAATCTTAAATCCTACAGCACTCTGCTCTGTTTTCAACACTGGAGTAGGTACCAAGTATTAGCTACCATTGAATTACTGTAGATGAAATACCAAGTTTTATTTTTTACAGAACTACACCTCTTAGTTTTAAATTGTCAGCATTGGTCTAGCAACCACTTTGACATCTCCCTGACATGCTTTTGAATCATGGTGTCATTTTATCTTCTGGTTATACATCACGGTCTTAGAGAAGTTTAGTACCAAGCCAATGCTGAAAAATCCAGAAGTGTTTTCAGTAATTGAGTTGCTGGGTGATCCACTGAAGCTTTTCAGCTTTAAACATACAAACACAACTGTTGGCTGTTAAATTTATTCTCCTAAATCTGTCATTAATTCATCAAAAATACCGTTTGTATTTCACGCAGGGCTCAAACCAATCAGGAGTACAAAGAACTAGTCAGTAATTTTATTGTCTTACAACTCTTATAGAGACTAAAATATTCCATACCTTTTCCATACAAGTGTTTGATGAAATGTTCAATTCAGCGTCTGGTTGCACAATTCCCTCCCCCCCCTCCCCGAGTTTGTTGCTGAATACTTAATGTGCCACAAAAAGAACAATCATGTTTCTTGTTATTTACAAAATTCCATGAAATTTCTTTTAATGCTCTTGTGACAAAATAAGGAGAGAGTTGTTTTCGAACAGGATAGTGCTTTGGGTGGTACAACTTGATTTCAATATTTTTGCTCCAAAGGCTTCATCTAACTGCTTTCACTGACACACTACTGCAAACCCTGACAAAGTCAGCCCAGTATTGCCCCTTAAAATTGTACCTCGGGCCAATTTTCAAATGCAGTTATGCATCTTGAGTCTCTCCCTTTGCCATCTTCTGTCTAGACCTGCAGATTGGTACCAATTTTGGAAATGGAACATTACAGATATTTTGAACTAGCGTTAAAAATGTTTTGCCTCCATTTATAGATATGTTCCAAATTGTAACAGTCTCCCAAGTCTGCAAATCTGGTCATACTGTAATTTTAAAAGAACATTGGCAAGCTTGTTATTACAAGAACTCTTTTTTTAATTTTACTATGCAAGAGACTGTTACAAACAAACTATTTTCTTTTTATTTCCTTGTTTAAAGAAATTAATGGCAACGCCTGGGCAAAACAACTTAGGAACACAAGGGGAAAAGAATGATGATTCAAGAAATTTCTGCACTGAAAAAATGCAGAAAAACCATTAAACTAAACTCGGCGTGATGTATGAGCAAGTGTCAGGTGAAGGCTAGCTATGCGACTATCGTCATTAAGTGTAGCTCTCTAGAATACCAGCTGAAGAGCTGATCCGCCACCGATCTCAAATCTCTTTCTGACCGTGATTCTGCACCTCAGACACCGAAGCAATTGTTCCCCCTCCCAAGGCTCACATTCCCGCTATCTCCTTTGCACCAGCTCTGTTGCCGGTACAGCCGGAGGAGAAGTTGCTTGGGCCAAGTAGGCAGGGAGAACGGGAGGTGAGGGGACACAAACAACCCCACCCCTTTTAGCAGTACCAATGGTTTAACTGACCATGGAGCCAGAGCGCGAAGCATGGAGATGGCAGCTTGCATACGTGCTTGTTTAGTTTCTAGCATTGATCCCAGTGACGTCTGCTAGGAGCAGTGTGGAAACTCACTGCCTGTCATGACTGCTATCAAAATGTGGTGGCCAACAATGTACCTTTAGGTAGGATCGTGAAGTTAAGAGAGAAAAGTTTCCTTATTCGTCATCGTGCTAGCGATTCAAACTTTGACTTTATTTTATTTTAAATTACAGAAAATACTTTGACAGTGAGTGTCTTTTTAAAGTTCCAGCTGGAAACGCCAGGATTTGGGATTTGCAACTGTTCTACAACAGTGAATTTTAAACAGTCTAATTAAATTTTGTAGTTGCATCTGCACAGTGCCGATTCTCCCCAGGAGAGACCCGGACTCTCTTTAAACTAAACCGACACTTGGCAAACAGCAATGTAAAGATTCTCCTACATCGGTGTTGTCAAGGCTATGAACATCTAGTTAGCTTTCACGAGCAAAGCGTGCAATTGCAGGAAGGGCTGAGGAGAAGCCAGAGGAATTTGAAAAGCCGTAGGTCACTTGCCAATATATGTTTTAAGAGTTTTGCGTCTGTTAACAAAATATTGTTGATTTTGCAAATATTTAAGTAGCGTGCTTAATGGCCTGACTATATGTGGCCTTTTTGCTTCAGCAGAGCTCCTTATTCTCCGAAAGATTAAATACACACCCAGGTGTTTGCAGAATCAGAGCCTAGTATTGCAAAGCCAGTTGTCTTTTGTTAAACAATATATTAAGACACTCTTTTTACCATGGCCAAAAACGTGTGTACGGGCTATGTGTGTTTGAGCAACTGCCACTGTTTTAGTTGATGTTATAGCGACCCTTCAGTTATCTATGCATTTTTTTTAATAATACTTAGTGACTGTAGGCAGGCAGCCATGTTCACTATGCTTTGTATGTCTGACGCCATATTTTAAATTAACCTGTTAAATACAGCTTAAAATATTTTTATTTTATTTATTCTATTTTTACTGAAATATCCTGCATTATTATGTTGATGTATTGTCTTTACTGGACGTGCACTTGTAACATTCTCCACTCTGTATACTATAGGTTGCCTAAAAAAAGGCAGGCTTTGTAATTATTTGTAGTTGCATTTTTATTGAAGTCTGTAGAAAAACCATGTAAAGCAAAGCTAATTTCTTAATTTTTTCAATGCAAGCAGTAAGTTAGAGGTAAGTATCACATGTCAGTCATGTCATTAATGTGCTCCCTTGCAGCAGCAAGGACATTTATATTCACAGTCAACGACTAGAGATAAAAGCCTTTCTTTTGAAATCTGCAGCGCTGGCTGTAGGTTTTATCTGAGCCACTTACTATTTCATTTGAAGGGGAGCAAGGGGGTGTGGGAGGTGTAAGGCTAGGGAGGCCACCTACAGGGTGGTTAAACAGGAATAACCAAAATTGCACGGGAGGGCACAGAATCCATTCATAGTCAAATGAATTCTTTCTTAGTCGTGTACTTCGTGTGCAGTCTCACCTGTACCTATTGAAACAATATGCCCTTTTGTGACAGAGGAAGAAAAGCCGTGGAGCATCTAATAGCTTATGCCAGTTCTGTGTCACTAAGAGTTCTACGTCCCTTTCCTTTTAATTTTATCAAGAATTTTGTAGATGATTTAACTAGGGATCTAAAATTGTTAGTAAATCACCCATGGAAAGAGAACTTTCTTATTTCAACAGCCAATATGGGCTCGGCCTTTACAGCGTTACCATTAACCCCATTACTCCTTTCTTGGGCAGGTTAATTAATACATTGCTAAGGCTTGTGCTGTACAGTCAGCAAAAGCAGGTTTGATTTATTTTAACAGCAGCAAGAAAGAAGGAAACACCCAGTGTTTATTAGCAGAGCTCAGTCTTACGTAAAGCACCTGATTGATGCCGAAAAGGACAATTTTCCCTGCTGTTGACCACTTCTCCACATTTAAATGTAATCTGTTCTGAGAATAAATTTAGCTGCATAAAATGATTGTCTCAGCTGTTACTGATCCATGAAACTGGGAAATTATTTCTTCTGTTCCAAATTGTGGTTGAGGGGAGGGAAAAACATACTGGTGGTTTAGAGGCAATAGCAGTACAATGGACACTTCTGCATCTGGAAAGCTGAATCAACGGTTTCTAGTAGAAAATGACAAACACATAACTGGATTAAAGAAAATTTGTCACCTAAGATACAGTTTTACTGCAGAAAGTCATCGAGCGTTTAACTGAGCGTACAGGCTTCTACCTACGAGCCATCTGAAGTCAGCCCCAGATGTTGCCACCATCTGGTGTTCGGTGCATACAGAGTAAGCCGGTGACCTGCAGAATCAAAAGCTTCAGTACCAGCTCTTCGCTATTCTTGGTGGGACATCAAGATTCTAACTGGTTTAGCCTCCATAACATTTCAAAGACTCAAACTCCTGAAAGCAAGATGAGGACATCATGAGGCGTATTACGTAAGTAGCCCAGAAATTCTATCGTCGGACACATGTATGTTCATTTAGAAGTAATTTTAATTACATTCAATAAATGAATGACACAGATTTTGATTTAAAAAAAATAGTTTAGTTCTCTAACTGCAGAATCTCCAAGTTTATTTTAAGCATTTAACAGCCATACTGAAAAAAACCCAGATCTCCTTACTGTCCATTCCTTTTATCTAACACATAGAATCTCTCCTCCTCCAAGATGGTTTTGAAATAAAATAGGGAATTTTTGTTTTCCAGTTCTATATATTGCATGCACACAGGTCTAGATCTGTCCTTACAAGTTTGTTCAGAAACAAGAGCAGAGTTCATCCTTTTATTGGAACAGGTAAGGAGCATGGGTCACTCACAGGGGTATGGCAGCAGGTGAGTGATGCCTCTGAATAGGGCAGCTGGCTGAGATTAAAATGCTAAAAGAAATTTTCACTGATTCAGTGAAGCAACAATATTTATCTGACGAACAAGAGCCCGCTGTCTACACTGCTGGTGTAGTATCATTCACATCCTTTCTTCTAAAGGTAGTGCTGATCCAGCTACATTGACTGGTGTGGGTGAGGAAGAAAAGAGAGATGTTAAAACATTTTCTCTGGATGGGTCTAAATCCAGCCTCAGGTCTACATCAAATAGGTTAAGATTCCATACCGTATTGTCAACACTACTGGCAACACTCTTACCAAATACCAGAAATGTTTGCCTAGAGGAAAACCTCTTCAGGGCCGCAGGTACCTTTGCCCTTCTATATTGCTATGCTGTCTTTGTTTCATTTCTACAACAGTGTAACCTAAATCAGTACAATTCTTGAGGCTCCTCTTACGGTCATTCCATCATTGTTTGCCATTTTCCTTCTTTATACCGTCCATGTTTAATACTAAATCACATTCTTGTTAAAAGTATCTCTGGGTGTCCCTTTTATCCTCTGCTCAGACTGTAAGACAGTTGTGGATATTTTACAGTTATTTTATTTTACATTTGCTAGCAAGAGGGAGCAGGTTAGAAGCCCACGGCTGTTTCCAAAGAAAGACAAACTACTATGTGTTCAGTCATTATTCAGCTGACTAGCAGTAACTTACTTTGACAGTAGCAGCTTTTCAGCTAAGAACTGCTTGGGTTAAGAAAGTTGGTGAAAAGCAGTTATGAGCCATGACGTAGTCTGACATGACATCGTGATGACAATTCAGTATTTTTAGCATGAGAATATTTTATCTGGTTTTCATTGTTAATATTTCGAAGCACACCTGAGTAGAAACCAAGGGAGTAAGTACTAGAAAGCCCATGCATGGACTTTAGTGTACTGGGCCAGTTGCCTGTACAAAAGTTCACATCTAGTTTTAGCAATAAAGGTGAACTAATGGCTTACTGTGCAAGGCTTAGTTTCCATGTGTCACAGTCTAAATGATAACTCACAAAAATGGTATCTAGCACTTGTAAAGAAAAATAGCCACCTACAAAATGCAGTCTCACTTTAAAAAAAAATCAATTGGAAATTGAATATTCCTACAGATCTACACAGGTCATGGGGCGGGGGGAAGTGTATGCTTTAACTTGTCACTTCAGAGTGTATACCAAGAAGCTATAGTTTTTTCCTCTCGCTCCCCCCACGGTCTATCAGCCCTGTGCAGCTGAGCTGCATTCACTTTGAAGTGCGATTACCAGTTCAAAATTACTATCTAACATGGATATTTCCGTACAAATATCCCATAATACATCTCTCTCCCACAGCAAGATTATCCTGCGTAAAGATATACTGTAATCTAAGTGTATGGATGAATATATACTGGCATCTTTACCTTCTGTATAAAGGCAGGGCAAAGTTTGAAGATTCTTACAGCCATGGTCGAGGATGGCTAAGCACAGGTGGCTTGACCACTTTAGCCAGAGGTGGTGGAAGTATCCTACCACTCGAACCCTTTGCTCCGGTCCAGCCATGAAAGCAATGAGTTGATACCCTGGGTTTGCTTCCTTGCGGACTTACGTATGGTGTTATTACTGGAGGCAAAACAATTTCCACAGGCTTCAGTACAACCCTTTTATGTTCTGCACGTGCCTTTCTTGCAAGTGTCTGTCTTTCATACGCCTTGCCCATAGATGACAAAGGAGATGCGTGCTTCAGCACTTTAGGCAGAGATGTGTCTGAAACAGGGTTGATGGATTTCTTCAGCTGAACATAGCTGTTTGTTCGGTTCACATTCTTTTGGTGTATGTTACTGACTGCTTTAGACACGGAAACTTCAGCCTTAATAGTAGATACAGTTTGATTGCAGAAGTCCTTCACCGTCTTCGGCTCTATACTACCACCAGTAATATTACTTCTACGTTGTGTTACTTTTGGATGCTTTTTCTCCTCTTCCTTTGATTTTTCTACAACCATGCCATCTAGTAGTCCTTTTGCTGCAGCACGGGCCAAAATGTCTTTAACAGACACCTTTTCAGAAGAATCTTTCTGAAAATTTCAAAGGAAACAACAATAAATCTAAGCCACAACACAGAGCTGCAAACTCAATACTTTAATCCCTGGTTCCTCAGAAGTTATTCCACGAGAAAACTACGGCCGAATCTAGCAGAAAGACTTAAGTCACATGTGATAAATGCTAACCAAACTATTTATTCAAGAAATTAAGAACATGACTGTTGTGACAAGTGCTATCTGAGCATTTGCTCTTCAGAGACTTTGCCCTCTACAGGCCTGAAGAGGGGAAACTGAATTCTGGGCTTGGTACTACATAACTCCCACATTGACTTGCTCTGTAACATATCTGTAAGAGCATATATGTGTACGTGTGTGTGTGTATCAGAAATAATTACTAAGATACAGAAATATTATCAATAACATTAAACATGAATAATTTTCATGATAGTGAAAATCTTTGCTCATAATACATAAGCAAGAAACTCTCAAACTAGATTACATATTTGGATATTGCCCTGGTTCCTAGTTAAAGAGAAGCGATGGGGAAGAAACTATTTACAACTAGCCAAGAAGAGGGGGGAGGTACCTGAAAACCAGAAATTTCAGTTGAAATTATGCTTCTTAGTACACATTTTATGCCTCTCAGAAAATGCTCGTTTCTGGAGTCACCTAAAAATTGGCCATTGATGCTATTAGGAGCAATTGGTTCTGTGCATTAGAATTTGACTCAAAAATTATTCAAATCAAGTAAAGTGTTTCTTTCCCTGGAGGGAGAGAATATGGTAGACAGATGTACACAGCGTGATTAACTAAAACTTACTAGCTCAGGGAGCCAGTTTAAAAAATATTCTACATTGAAAAGAGGTCAGTAATAGATAACTTGAAAGGCTTTTCATGTGTGATTCTCTAATGAAATCTTCCTCTTCTAATTCTCCCCAAGACACAAGCTTCTTTCAAGCACTGTAATTGCAGTATGACAAAAAGTGGTACAAATAACCAAATAAGATCTCATATCTTTAATTTTCAATGAAATTCTAATTAGCCCCCCCCTTCCTCTTTTGGTGAAGAAAGTCCTACTTTTATCAGACACAAGAGGAAAATGTTGATGCTCAGAGATGCAAGCTAGCCCTTTAAGGCCTTTCTTCAGGAATCCTGCCAAGACTTCCCCATTTACTCAGCAAAAGTCCCCTGCCTTTCAAGCCAGTT